CCAGCAGTGCGACCAGAGTCACGGCTCCACACACCGCGCTCTTTCACTGCCCCCCACCCCCACCCCGCAGCCCAGCGTGTGGGCCGCTGTCTCCGCCAGCTCCTCTCCTCGTCTTCCTCCTGGCCCGCTTTCCTCACTCACTGCGGCGCCTGTCTCAGCTCACAGCTCGTGTGATCAACACGTAAGCCCGTCTGGGGACAGTCTCGGGATGTCACTGGGACAGCCCCACAGTCGTACTCTGGGGCTCTGGTGAACCTGCTTTCGTTTTCTTCAAGTGGAACTTGTCGGGAGCACGGGCCGCTCCTGTCTGCAGTGGCCCGTCCTCTCTTCCCATAGGTGTGCTGTCTGCACCCTGCGTCCCACCTGGCGGGGTCGCTGCATCACGAGAAGGCCCTGCGTGGACATGGGTCCACTCTGCGGCTCTTCCCTTCCCTTCCCCGCTGACAGTGGGACTGGCGTGTGCACGTGAGCGAGTCGCACAGACCGGCCTTCCTTCAGGGCACATGGGGGCCGTCCTCCGCCGGCAGTGCTGTTCTCCTCCGCCGGCCACTACAGGCACTGTGGCCTAGGGCCGGGCGTGGAAAGCTGGTGCCCTGTGCTCTCTTTCCCGACAGTGCCCGCTGAGCCCGAGTCTGGTCATGATGGTGGGCGTTGGGCTTTTTGCTCGGGCCCACAACCTGCACAAACACGAGTGGTGCCCAGTGGGGGCAGAAGTGCTGGTGGGCAGCACGCCCCTCTGTCTGCCCAGGCCACCTCCGCCTGCCCCTGGCTCTGCACTTTGGTAAGGGGACCCTGCACCAGGGCATGCTGAGGCCAGTGCAAGGGCCTGGTCACAGAGCCAAAGCGCAGCCTGGCACATGCTCCTCCTGCCCCTTCTCAAGCAGAGGACTGACCGGCAGCCTGAGCAGGACCACACGGACCATCAGGGCCTCAGTGACAGGATCCAAGTGCAGCAGGGAGGAGGGACCCGAGTGGACTCGTGTCCTGAGCTCAGCGTATGGCCAGGAGGCTGACCTCTGGCCGTCTGCTTGCTGCACCAGGCCTGCCGCTAGCTGGGGCCGGCTCGGAGCCGCGTCTGCTTCCTGGATGCAGGGAAACTCCCTGGCACCAAGCGGGCGCCAGGGCACCGACAGACACTCACTCTTCCCAGCTCTCCTCACCCAGACACCTGCCCTCTGGGGCCGGCAAGCCAGCCCTGCCTGCGAACCAGACTGGGCTCACTGCATGGGTGCTGAGGTGCCCAGGGCCAACACCATGAGGCATACCCGCTGCAGCTCCTGGTTCTTCTCCTCCAGCTGCAGCTCCATCTGGCGCAGGCGCTCCTCCACGTTGCCGTGCCTCTCCTCAGCCTGCGGGCGGAAGCAGGGCGAGCTGAGCAGGCAGCCATGGCAGCGCACCACGCCGCTTGCGGCTCCGTGGCAACAAGTGCCTCGAGCATGGCGTGGGCTGCAGCCGAGGGCCGGCATACGTCCAGAGACGCGCCTGAGGGGGCGGGTGGGCTGACCCGTGCAGCCATGAGCCCGCATGCTGATGGACAGAGGCCGGTGGGCACGGTGAGGGGGTGAGGGGCTCGCCTCCGGGGCATGAGACCCCTGCTTGGGCATGGACAGCGGCAAGCGGCAGGCAGTGGGTGGTGGCTCCGGCCTCTACCTTCCTGACCCGGGAGCTAAGTCTCGCCAGCCGGGCTTCCTGGGCAGCAGAGCTCTCAGGAGATAAGAGGACGGACTGCACATGCGACAGGCCGGGCAAGGCGGCAGGAGAGAAACGTAGACTTTACCAGCAGGGCCTCGCTCACCAGCTCCCCTTCAAGAGCAGTGCTACCTCCCTCTCCCCAGCGGGGAACAGGCCTCAGCGGAGTCTCCTCAGAGACGGTGGCTTCCCGGAGGGCCTGCTGTCCACCCTGCCTGCCCCGTCCCTCAGAACCCACAGGGGGGTGGGGTGTTCCTGAAATAGAATGCCCTTGTTCCTGTCACAGTGCCTGTCAACCTGCTCACTGTCCCCAGAGCTGGTGAGAACTTGGACAGGGCTGTGTCGGCCAGGCCTCGGCAATTTGCTTTGGCCAGAAGCACTGGTCAGGCAAACCTCTTCCAGGACACAGCCCCTCCGATGGTCTGTAAGAGCCAACCACCCCTCCAGCCCAGGAGACAGCCGCCCTTGCCTCCCACCAGGCTTCCGAGCTGGACTCGGCACCCCGTGGGCAAGGCTGGCCGGACGGTACGAAACTCCGGAACCAAGAACCAGGAAGACGCCCCGCACAGACAGGGCTGCGCGTCCCAGAGGAGCCGCAGATGTGCCTACGCCATCTGAGAGCAACGACACGGCCGGACATGCCACCACCTCAGGGAAGGCCCCATGTGCCACACCTTGGACAATGCGGCCACCCTCTGGGCCAGCTCCGCCTCCACCTCGGGCAGCGTCTCTGCTCTGCGCAGCGTCTGCTGCAGCTTCTGCTCTGCCAGCTCCAAGCGCTCCTGCAACTGCCGGTTCTTATCCTCTGTCTGCAAAGAGAAGGCAGGGTCACCCCGCCACCCACCCCACGCTCAGCATCCAGAGCACGCCACTGCTGCCTGGCCCGCCTGCCCCTGGGGGAGGCTGTGACCCACTCGAGTAAGAGCCCCGTCTGCATGCGCAAGGAGAGTAAGGGCATCTGACATAGGAACGTGGACAAGCAAGGGGGTCCTTTGAGCCGTCTGTGGTCTGCGAGTGAATGGAAGGGCCGAGCGATGCCCTCCCAGAGAGTGAACCCTGTCCCAATCACACCATGGTGGTCACTGCAGGCAGCCGCCCTGAAGGAGCTCCCCGCAGGGCGCACCCTTTCTGCCGCAGCAAGCGGGCAGCACTGTCCCCAAAGCGTGTGCCCCCCTGAGCACCCTAACAGGAGCTTCCTGCCACAGAGAGAAGTCCCACACCCACGGGTAGAGGAGCGCTGGCAGGACCGTGTGGGCGTGGCCAGCAGTGCGACCAGAGTCACGGCTCCACACACGGCCGCACAAGGCGTCGGGACAGCTCTACTGTCCTGCGGGGCCACCGTGAGCCAGAAGGAACTCGATGGCCATGGTTTGTGAGGCTGCCGCACTCGGCTGTCCACAGTCCAAACCGACAGCACTCTCCGGGAGAGGCGGAGCCCACTGCCTGTAAGACACCTCACAGGGGCTGCGGCCCCTGGCCTGCAGGGACTGGGTTGGATGACCCCGCAGCACAAGCGGCCACGGCAACAGAGGTGAAGATGTCTGTGAAGGCAGCCTCCTGCTCCCTGGAGGAAAGGCACAAGGAGGCTCCAAGCTGGGTTTGCTCCACAGACCCGCCCCCCCTCCCCCCCACGCTGCCTAGGGGCAGCTGGCCCAGGACAGCAGTCCCCTGCCCTCAGGAACCACACACCCTTCTGGAGAGCACCCAGGGAGTCGAGGGTCCCACCCCTTTCCACCACAGCCTGCGAGAAAAGGCCCAGGGAAACCAGGGTCAAGGGATTCAAGAGCATTGTTCTTTACAGAATCCCTCTCCCTGTAGACAAAGATTTCAACATAGAAAAGAAGTACTCAAAAAAAGGAAAATCATAGTCACTTCTAACTTGAGTTACTCTTTTTCCCGTGCACACACATCTGCATCTGCACATATTCAATACGCTATTTTCCAAATGCTCGAGAAAGACACACACAGGGCACCCGAGTTACAGAACCCACTCACACCACCTGTCCTGTGTTTGTTGTGTGTGTGTGTGTGTGGGGGGGGTGCAACAGTGTATCATCTTATCAGCACCAACAGGGGCTACACATACAACACTGCGGCGGGTGACTGTTACCATTCCCTGACGTGGCCTCTAAAGCCCAGGCAGACCCGCTAATCGAAGGCATCGAGGGTGAGACTGGACAAGGACAGGCGGCTTCAGATGAGGGCGGTCGCGTGGGTGCTGCAGGCGCCGGGAGCCTGGGTCTGTGCTCTGGCTCTCCCGCTCCCTCCACTGTGGGTGCATGGCACCTGTGATAGTCCCCAGTGGCCCTCCAACATCCAGCTTTTTGGCTAAATCGTCCATAAAACCCTGCTAGCTCACGGTCAGGAAGCAGGCAGAGGCAGACAGCGACAGCCCACTCCTCACCATGGGTGGGACTCCTGACCCTGTCGTCCAAGGGCAGCCATACTGCCCCCCCCCACCCGCAGTGCATGCCACCCTTCAGCAAGTAGCCCAACAGCGGACTCCAAGACCCTGGAACACAGCCCCAAGTGGCACGGCCCCCGGAGGGTTTCCCAAGGCTGCCATCTTTGTGGGCGCAGCCCGGCTCCACTTGTCCGCCGGGCAGCCTCACAGTCAGCAGCTGAGCACTGCGCCCGGCCGGCCGCCTCACCTGCCGGTGGAGCGCGTCCTTGTTGGCCATCTCATTCTCCAGCCTGTCGTTGAGGTCGTGCACGGACGTGGCTTCACGCTGGGCCGCGAGGTAGCGCTTCTCAAGGGTGGTGATCCTCTCCTCCATGTCCTCCTTCTGGGCCACGGCCTGGGGGTGGGGGTGGAGAGGTGGACTGAGTGCAGGAGACACTCACCTCCAGGAGGGGAGACGCGTTCAAACTGCCGAGGGGACGCCAACTCACAGCCCCCCCACCCCCGCCCCCAGCACGGAGGAGCACTGCCGCGCAAGGTTCCCGAGAACCTGGGGGATGGCCCAGCAAACCCGACAATGAACCTGTTGCAGGTGCATACACACAGACTGCACGCGCACACACACACACACCCATGCACGCACATACACCCGCACTGCCTTGGAGTCAGCCTGGCCTGCGGGCTGGCCCTGTGGGCGTCTAAGTCTGGACTCCGGGACAGAGCGGCTGGTGGTCTCCGAGTGCTGGCTGGCAGTCAGCAGCTCGCGGTGTGAGCCGTCCCCAGCGTGCGTCACAACGAACCCACCTCCAGAGACAGAAGGGTTCACTCACCAAGTGCTCCCTAACTGCTCCAGCCACTCAGTGGCCCAGCGAGCGAGCCCCTTCACTGCATGCCCAGGGCTGCAGGACGCAGCTGGCCGCCCTCGAGCCCTGGGGTGGGCACAAGGCCTCTCTGGAGAAAGCTAGCCCTGTGCCCGTGGAGTAGACTCCGACTCCCACAGCCCCGAGGACATGCAGATGGCCCATGGCCTTCCAGGCTGCCGCCTCTTTCCTCTCGGGGCAGGAGCAACAGGTAGGCTCACACGAGCCGGCAGCCTAGTGCTTAACCACTGCACCACCAGAACTCCTGAAACCTCATGCCAGGATCACAAATGCCAACACGTGTCGCTGTTCAGTGCAGCGAAAAGCCTAGAGCCCACCTCCACAGCAAAACCACCCTCCCTCCGCCACCCACAGGGGCCCACCCGCTGAGACCTGGGCCAGACCTTTCACGGAGCCCCTCCTCGCCTCGTGCCCAAACTCACGCCGAGCATGGCCACGCTCTGCCCCAGCTGCATGCTGAGCCACGCACAGCGGACCCACCGCTCCACACAGGCTGCCCAGAGGACACGGCCCTACTGCAGGGCTCCTAGGGAGCATCCAAAGGCATTCCACACGGATGCACACCCAAAGTGGGCACAGACAGGAAGGGCAGGTGGCCCTGCTAGTGAGGCTAAGTCCACACTCCGCTGTCTCTGTCTGTGTGCCTGCCTGCCGGGGCTCAGTGCCCAGGCCCTGGGGAGGAGTCCACCCTGGGACAGTTGTCTGTCCACTGAGGTTCCTGGTGAAGGAAGGGGTGTGGCCCAGTCAGGCCCCAGCACGGTGTGTGCAGATACTGTGGAGACTCGGGGCAATCTGCGTGAGGCTGGGGTTCACTAAGCTGAGCGGACAGGGTCTGCAGGATTTCGCAGAGGAGGGCCCAGCACGCCCATGATCTAGACTGCTCTGCGGGGCTCACTGGACAAGGGAAGCGTGGTGGTGCCGCAGGTGACGGCCAGGCTGCTCAACCTCGCGTGTCCCTCTGAGGGCACTGGGAGATCTGGGCTCTGGAGCTGAGCTGGCAGTTCTGCTCAGTCCCACTGGCTTGATGGCCAGGCGACCTAGGTGTTTATGAGCCTCCTGGTCCACCCCTCCCCTGCCTGCTGCGAGGCCCTGGGAGTCGGGGTCAGAGTGCTGGACCCCAGCCCACAGCTCCGTCGGCACCGTGGCACCTCACCTCTCGGACCTCCCTCTGCAGCTTGGTGTTCACGTCTTCAGACTTGATGAGGTCCTTGCGGGCTGTGTCCAGGTCCTCCTCCAGCTCGGCCACGTGGCTGCACAGGACGGCCAGCCGCTCCTTCATCTGGCCCTGCTCGCGGGCCTGCTTGTCGATGACCTCCTGCAGCTCCACCGCCTTCGCCAGGTCCTCCTCGTGGCTCAGGGAGCCGTCCGACGACCTCTGCAGGACAGCCCCCGTGAGGGGCCTTGCCAGGGGCCGGGAGCGGCACAGCCGCCGACACCAGCCCCTAGGTCTTGGTCCACAGGCCCCTCGCGGCACCGCCCCACCCGGCACGCATCCTAGATGCAGCTCACACGAGCAACAGGGGCAGAGGCCCACAGGGCAGCCGGTGCCAGCCACGGGCTTGGTCCCAGCGCCCTTGCACGCACTCGGAGAGGCGGCCAGGAGCTGACTTGCCTTCCCGTTGGTGCTGGGCGTGTTCTCCTGCTCGTGGTTCACGTCCGGCACCCCGTCAGCCAGGGCTTTCTTCTGACTGTTCTGTTCTTTGAGGATCATGAGCTAAAACGGAGACAGGCGTGAGGGAGGCGAGCAGTTCACGGGAAGGAGCAACAGAGCACAGCGCCCTCTGCACAAAAACAACAGCGCTCACCGCCAAGCCCTTCCACTGGCATGCCCTCATCCAGAGCCTAACGGGGCCACGTCTGCTCAGAGCACTGGGCTCTTCCCCAGCACGGCCTCCGAGAATCGGACGGGCAGCAGCGGGGTGGGGTCGAGTTCCTGCCCAGGGGGGGGAACGACTCAGAGCAGGAGGGGCGGTGGCAGCGTGGCTCGGCGCATGTCACCAAGGTCCTTGAGTAGCGCATGGGGCGTGTGCTCTGCTGTGTGATTTCAACAACAACAACAACAACAACACCACACGGAAAGGGTTAGCTTTCGCTAAAGAGCACGCACACCAGAAACTGCAGAGCCAGCGAGGGGCAGAGCCCAGCCCCGTCCTCAGGGCTGCTTTGGTTGAAGACTCTCCCAACTCAGGCCCGGGCCAGTGATGCGCCCCGCTTACCTCTTTGTGGGTGGTGCCTAATTCTTCTTCTAGCAGACTGCATCTCTCCAGGGCCACGCGCAGCCTCTCTCTCACCTGGAAGCAGGAGGGGCCAGTGAGTGCGTGCCTGTTCGCTACGCACTGCAGTCTTCAGACAACGCCACAGCAATCGCCACAGGGATCAGCGTCGAGCGCACCAGGGCCGATGGTTCCCCAGTGGATGGAGAAAGCCCCCACCCGTACCCTGAGATGAGGGCAGTCACGATTCTTGACACATGACACCCCGGTTTACGGCGTCTGGTGCCAAACCGTGCTTGTGACCACACAGCACCTGCCCTCCCCCACAGGACGCTCCCATCACACAGCACGCGTTGGGCTGAGCGGCGTACAGAGTGGGGAGGCCTGTTATCTCCACTTTTCTGTCCCCCCAATTCTGTAAGTCCCGGTGCCCTGGGCCCGTGAGTCCGAGGCGGGCTGTACCTTCTCGTCCAGGGCCTTGTGGTGCTCAAACAAGGACTTGAGGGCTTTGAGGACCTCGACCTCGCTGGACACGCCTGCTGGCGATTGGGTTTGCCTCTTCACCACCGTCATCCGCAGAGACCGCTCGTGCCGGGACACCAGGCACTCCAGGTGCTCCAGCAGCAGCTGCGTGAGAAGCAGACAGTGAAGGCCTCCCCACTTCCCAGCCACACACTGGCTGCTCACTGCGGAGCTGGCAGTTCGAAGCCACCAGCTGCTTCGTGGGAGAAAGACAAGGTTTTCTACTCCCATGAAAGGTTATTGCCTCGGAAACCCACGGGCAGATCCACCCAGTGCTACGGGGTCGTTCTGGCGGTGGGTTGGGTTTGTTTGGGGTTCCCTTCCCATGTGCACAGAGACCGAATACCTTCTTCTGGCTTGCGCTAGGAGCCGCCCAGGTAGGCAGGGCCCACTCACCCTGGTGTTGTTTCTTTCTGCCTTGAGCTCGGCGATTTCCTCCTCCCGCTCGAGAAGCTGCTCCCGGCAGATGTTCAGCTCCTTCGTGAGCGCCGCAAACTCCTGCAGGAGGGCGGGGAGGGGACCCTCTCAGGCCAGCACCTCCAGCCTCACCTGGAGACCGCCCTGGACGAGGCATCTCGAGCTGGCCGTCTCAGGCCTCCGCCCGGCCGAGCACTACAAACCTGGACGACTCACAGACACATGTGCTCGATGCCCCCCAACCTCCTTCTCTAGGTAATCTAACTCCCCTGGGGTAGCAAGGCTGTGGGGGAAGTGCTCCCCCCCAGGGTGGGCTGCCAACCCCCTGGGCAGCCATACAACACAAGCACACGTGCCCCGGGCCAATTCCAAATAGCGGCACTCAGAGCATGGGGCTCCCCACAGAGTGGGCGACACCAGACCACAGGGCCCACGGGCACCCACACCCAACATGGGAGGGGCGTGGCCCAAGAGCAGGGGACAGAGACAAACATGATGCCGACATGTGTCTGAACATTGGTAAAAGAGGCCCAGTGGAAAATATTCCACATGAGACAGCATTTAGGAGGAAACCTAGCCGAATGACAAGCCCTGTGTGGACAGGTGTCGGCAGGCTTGTCAGTGTGGCCAAGTGGACCAGGTCCCCGAGGACACTCGGCCACCCAGAAGCAGAGTCCACGCAAGCGCCAAGGCGCCAAGGAGGCCGCTTTGGGCCATCGCTGCTGGCGGCTCCCACGCTCTCGCGGTCTCCACGGGACGAAGCCAGAGGCGGCCTCGGGGCCTGGAGTCTGTGTGACTCGCAGGAACCAGGCAGTCGTCCTCTCCAGGGCAGACCACCTCATTTCTCGGGGCTGCACTGCTGACCTCCTGCTTTACTCTAGAGGGTTTCGACCGCCCCCCAAGTGGGACAGATGGGCGGACCCCCGCAGGCATGGAGGGCCTGGCGGCCAGGCCAGTTCTTACGCACAGAGGACGGGACCAAATGCCAGTTTGCCTGTGTTCAGGCTGGGGAGTTTCTCTCGTCCCCCGAGCCCCAGTGTGCTGCATACTGGGGTCCGCTTCTTGAACAAGCTGTCTGTCCGTCCACACGTTGCCCAGCTCCCTTCTCCGTCACTTGTGCTCCCATCACCATGTTGGGCACCTGAAGCCCTGCGTTTACCCTGCTTGCAGCCTGGCAGCTCTGCCAGGAGGTGGCAGGCGGGATCTGGGTCAAGGGCACATCTTGGCTCGGAGACACCTGTAGTTGTGCCACCACCACCCTCCCCTTCCCAGCAGCCTCGGTGCCAACTGGGCCCTGCTGGGTGGTCACACTAGAGGGGTGGAGGCCTCACTGAGGCTCAGCTCCCAAGGGAGTCTAGTTGTGGTTCCCAGGACACTTCCACCCATGTCATCCCAACCCGAGGGGCCCAGTCCTCTCCTGCCAGTGGCCTAAGCTGGCTCTCTACGTGGGGCCTGGTCCAGGGGCTACAGCCTTTGGGAACACAGGCCAGCAGCGCAGGGGGGCAGGGACGGCTCCAGGGAGGCCTCCAGAAATCACTGTGAAGGGCTTGGTATGTCCTACTGTGAAGCCCGCGTACGTGTGTCTGTGTGGCCAGCCAGACCGCCGCCAGGGCTGAGTCATCTGAGCAGGAGCCCGCCCGCAGGCCTGGCAGGCAGAGGGTGGCAGGGTCCACATTCAAGTGGGGACTCCTGGGGGGTCTTAGCTATAGGCTCCAAGGGCCTTGAGCAGGGACTGGGCAAGACTGTTACAGGCCAGCGTCACCTGGGGCAGAGGACAGGCACTGCGGGCTCTGGGGCAGACCAGGAGCCCTAGGAGCAGGGCAGAGGCAGGGGAGGGGAGGGGGAGCGTGAGAAGCTAGTGCTGAATCAGCAGGCCCCACTCCAGAGAG